AAAAAATCAATAAAACATATTTTTTAAAAAGAACAAGCTTCAGAAAAACAAAATGACCAGAGAGTTTTTGACCTAAGGGCTGGTGGTGAGCACTGAACTAAGAAGACGAATGACAGTTCAAAGTGAGAGTTTAGTAAGCAAGGATTCAGGTAACAGATATAGACCAATCATGAAAAAATTGGGAGAGAATGCGGAGAATATGTCTACATTCTACATTTTAATACTATTCTTAGTAATTATACCAGCAGTGGTGGTAGTATTAGTATTGCTATTCTGAGACTGAATGATGTGAGTTCCAAGAAAGCGGTTAACACAGCAGGCCGGCTGCTATCCTTCTAAAGGCCTGCTCACAAAGTTTGCCCTTGGCTAGAGTCTGGGAACTTGATTTCAGGAGGGTTCCCACCATTCCCTACCTGATAAGGTGGTTCACTGTGCAAACATCTGCTTCCTTCTGGGGATCTGGAATATTGGTATGTGCTCAGCAGAGGGTGCCTAATGACTAAATCCCAATAAAAACCGAGGGCACTGAGTAATAGACTTCTCAGTAAGAAATAACACACATGGGTTGCTGCATTTCTGTTGCTGGGGCAACAGCATGCTCTGTGTGACCCCTGGTGGGAGGAAGAGACAGCGTAAGGAAGCCTGTGCGTGGCATCTTCCTGAGTCTTTTTCCCTTGCTGATTCTATGACATATCGGTTCTCTGTTATAACCTTTGCTATAAATACAACTATATCCTGAGTCCTCTGAGTCCTTATAGTGAATCACTGGATATGGTGGCAGTGGTGGGACTCAATAAAACAACCCTGACTCACTGAAATGTGGCTACAGCGTTACTCAAGAAAAGGAAAGAAGCAATGATGGAAGGTGACAAAATCCTGGGGTCTGAGTGGCTACGAAGTTACCTATAGTGTTAAACAGCAACTGAGTTGTCATCTCTTGTGAAAGGTAACAGTTAAATCCAACCACAGGCAGGTGGCCTCGCTGCATCTCCTGGCTGCTCTTAGCTGTGCTGGCTACAGGGAGGAAAGAGTAGCTCAGCTCATGGCTTTAGTTTTTGTTTTCTCCTCTAAGTGGGAGGAGAAAGGGCCCAAATAGTCCCCCCAGGGCTGGAGCAAGTCTTTAGGTAAACCGGAGGGGGGAGGGTTAAAATAAGAAAACGAAAAAACAGCCTGACTGGCTGGCTGGTGTGATTCAGTGCAGGAGGCAGCAGATAGATGATTCTCTCTGATCATTATTGTTTCTCTCTCCCTTCCTCTCTGAAATCAATAAACATTAAAACAATTTAAAAAACCATTCTAGCCTTTTCTTCAGCTTAGCAGCGGCCTCAGCTCAGGGATAGCCCCTCCTGACTTTGCAGCTTGATCTGCTGTTCGCTGTAACGTTAACCCTGTATGTGCTGCTTTTAAGACTAGGGGATTTGAGGGGGGAAAGAGGTGTGTTTTGTAACACGCTTTGTATTTTATGACTATCACACCTGAGTGTATCATCAACATTGATGTAAAATTTTATACTCGCCATTTCATCCGTGCGAGACATAGATCATCCTGACAGGGAAAGCTGCAAAGGGGGAAAAAGTGTACATGCATCAAAGCTCTCTTGCCTTTTGCTGCCCATGGGCAGATTGCAATTTCAACTCTGGGAAAAGAACAAGATGCCATCACGAATTTTTATTATTTTATTTTTGCCTGTTGGAGCCTCTGGAAAAGGGGGGACATGATGAAAAGAGAGGCAATCTGCAGGTAAAAAAATGGCACTTTGGGAGGTCTGAACCCAGTGTGCTAATGTGCAATTGTTGAAATGAGGTGGCTGGCAGTAGAAGCTGCTGGTTTTCCGGCCACATATACATATTTTTGAGTGTGTCTGTTTGGATGCTAAAATTGACAAGAAGGGCTTTCAGGAAAGCCTTTCTTATCACTTGGGCTGGGAATACAGCTGTCTGGCTGGTACTGGGGGGAAAAAGCCACTGGCTTTTTAAAAAATTATATTTTTTCAATTATATTTTACATTCAATAGTATTTTATATTAGTTTCAGGTGTAGTGGTTAGACAATCGCATACTTTACAAACTGGACCCCCTGATATTTCAAGTACCCACCTGGCATTGTACACAGTTATTACAATATTATTGGCTTTTAAAAAAAATCCCGGATTCACAGGTTCTAATTGCCAGGGCCTGACCGGAAGCTGAAACCTGACACTCTTCTGCAGCTGTTTGCAGCCTCACTGTGAGCTGTGCTCAGCTGAAATGAAAGAGCATCTATCTCAAAGAACAGGACTCAGATTCAGGAAAGGGCTTGTATAATTGAGGTGCTGATTGGCTTCGTATTTCTGACAGAGACTAATTATGGTTACTGAATTGAAATCAGCAAGTTAACCAGAGGCTAACTCGTGGTTACTGTTGAACGCTGCAAGCTAGGGAAGGACATCACAGGGAGAGGCCACTTCACCTACTCCCCATTGGTCAGACTCCCCACCCTTTCTTGGAGATGGCACTGCTGTTGACCTGCTATGGTCAACTTTTCAGGTTACTTGCAGTTTGTACCAATGACCTGATAGCCTGACTCTACTTCCTTCACCTCCCTCTTGCTAGACACCCTTGTGCAAGACATTTGATTATTAAATGCAGCCGTCCCCAGCAAGGGATTCATTTTTTTTCTAGGCTGCTCACTGGGGAAATGATTAGGACCAAAGGAATGGGAGGTTATGTAAACCCATTTTGGAAAAAAAAAAAAGGAAAGTTCAGGATTCTTCCTCATCAATTCTTGATTATGATGTGTCTTTCTGGTTACATTGTATAAAAATGTTTTGCTGGGAAAATGTTTCTTTTCTTCTTGCATACAGCCCTTCCAGACAAAAAGTTTGGAGGATAATAAAACGGTTGGGAAATGTGAGGTTGTGATCACTGAGTGAGACACACCAATGTTGTAACCATGGAGAAATAATCCTATATAATAAAATCCTAATACGCTAAGTGTCCGGTCGACTGGTTGACTGTTCAACCAATCAAAGTGTAATATGCTAATCATATGCTAAGGCCGCTCAACCACTGGTTATGATGTGCACTGACCAACGGGGGCAGATGCTCCAACCGGTAGGTTAGCTTGCTGCTGGGGTCCAGCCAATAAGGACTGAGTGAGAGGGGCCAGACACCCCCTAGAGCCCTCCCGAAGTCCCTTCCCGGCTGGCCAATGATAATAATAATAATAATAATAATAATAAAGCCTGGGGAGGTGCCAGGGAGTAGAGAAGGCATTAATGATCTTTGTTTTTCTGAACTGCTCTTGGAAGCTTTCCCCTTTTCCTGAAGAAAAAAAAAAGCCTCATGGTATTTCATTTCCAAGCTGCTGTGAGTACCTTGAATTCAAACTGACTGTAGATCACACCTGATAGGCAGCAGGGGTGGCACCATCCCCTGCACTTTCCATGCAGAGCACCTCCAAGGTGTCCACACACATGATAGGAATGATGGAAGCAAAACTGAAGGAAACTGGATGCTTTCAGGCAGTCCCTCTGTAACCAAGGACTAAACAATTACTTGGTTGGACGGGGCAGGAGGCTCCATAGTGAGAGGCGACACTGGGGGCCCTGTTAACCCCTACTGCCTGGCTAATGTCTGTTTTGCTCTGGGTACCCTAACAAGTATTAGACATCCTCTATTTCCAGGGGTGCCATGTGTGCCCTGGGACTTCACTTCCTGTGTGTGTGCCCTGACTATCCCAACACTGCCTCAGCCTAATGGCTTTCCAGTCAGCTTCCACTTACTGACCAGAGTACACTGTGCCTGAATGGCTGCCATGAGCCAGGTAAAAGGGAGCTAATATAGAAATTTAAGGAGGAAGGTACCTGACTTTCTAAGATAAATCTTTGTGGTTAATGGGATTTGTTTGAACTGGTGAAATCTTGGACCCCTGTAGGGTATAACTGAAGATAATACTACAGGTAGGTCTCACCTGATGCAAGGGATCTAACTGATCATTGTGTTGTAAAGTTGCCTTATCCAAGGTCCAAGGGGTCAACTATCCAGAAATGGGTTAACAAAGCCTGCTATCCTTTGAAAGGTTGGCCCTTGGCTGGAAACTTGCATTTGGGAAGTGTTTCCACTATTCCTTAACTGGTAAGGATGGCTCATTGTGCTCAGACTTTGTGCAAACAGTGTGGTTTATGCTTATCATTTGCTTTCATTCTAAGAGTCTGCAATTTTGGTACATGCTAGGCAGAGTGTCTAATGACCAGCCCCCAACAAAAACCTTGGGCACTGAGTCTCTAATGGCTTCCTTGGGCGAAAACATCACACGTGCGTTGCTGCATTTTTGTTGCTAGGAAACAGCCAGTTCTGCCTGACTCATTGTGGAAGGGAGACAACATCAAACTCTGCCTGTGTCTTTTTCCATTGCTGATTCTGTTGCATATCTGCTTGCTATAATAAAACTTAGCTGTGAATACAAATGTCAGTGGCGCTGGGAATCAGCAAGACCGGGTTCATGTCTCCCAGAGGAAAGAGTTCAACACACGGGGAAATTGCAGCAAGCAGCAAAGCTTTATTCAAGCGAAAGTACATCAAGCAAAGCTGGAGTGCCCCATTGGGTCTAAGTCCTGGCTTTTGACTTATTCTTGCCCCTCCCATGCTTTGTACTAATCTCCTGCACCATTCAGCCTTTGATGGCTCTTTTAGTTTTCTATTCATCCTTTCCCTTGTTTACCTAAGCACGGTTTTTTGGTCCGTTTGTCCTTTCTCTGCCCTGCTCATATCTATCTCACTACCTACTCTAACATTTCCCCCCTCAAGAGTTATGAGACCCAATTCATTGGGAGATCATGGACGTAGACAATCATCTG